TGTGTGTGTGTGTGTGTGTGTGTGTGTGTGTGTGTGTGTGTGTGTGTGACCTATATAGACCCCCACTGATGGACAGTTAAAGATGGACGGACGGACGTCCTAAATGATCACATTTAGACTTAGAGAGACAACAAACAATAATTATAAAAATATAAAAGACATTGAAGGAAATATTTTACCTGATTGTTTCCTTTTAAATTGGTTCATAAATGAGAAGAAAATTCTTAATTTTTTTGAATCTGTAAATCAGTCTTCTTTTCCCTCCAAACACTTCCGTTTCCTTGAGTCTTTCAAAAAGAGACATTAAACACAAGGTTTCCGTTAAAGTCAGAATCACTCTGGAATACGTTTTGTCTCTCCGCTTTTAGACATTCAGAAATGAGATTAAAAACACTTCAGAAAAGGTTTCCTTCAGTTAACACATCCACTTCCTTCAGTCTGATTCTCTTCACATGTGAATGAGACCTGAAGTCACTTTTCTGTCCTCACAATTCCTTCAGTGTGTGAAGTGATGACAAAATATTTATAACAGTTATTGAGAAATAAAAGCATTATTAGGAACAAACTTTAATTAATTTAGGATATTCTGTATTCGGTCCCCTTAATCCAGCGTGTCCTCACAGTGCAGGTGGGAAATGCGTTGGGCCCCTCAGAGTAAAGGTGTTGTTCCATGTTCTTCCTGTAGGGCCCTGGGGCCCCTCAGAGCGCTTACTGTCAGGCAGCTTTGTGCTTCTTAAGAGGTCATGAATCAAGTTTAAAATGCACCATGTGCTTTGAATTCCTAATTCCCCCCCCAAAGTAGATTATCTTAACTCCCCCACTTCAGGATTTAGGCAGATTTACTCCACCAAACACCTCTTTGTTCAGGGAGATGCAGCAGATGAAGCTTGCAGCAGGAAACGTGTTATATTAACAACAGTAAGTCTGGTTCATACCCCTCCACAATAAAACAACACCATGACATCACAGTCACATGATCTATTAGTTCTTAGTTCATGACTCCAGAATATTTATGTAAAGAACACATGTTTTACATTTTCATTCTTAATTTGACCAGTTTCAGCATGTTTCATAGATTTTATTTTGGTTTTTATTATTGAGGTTTCAAGTTGTTATCAATTCAGATTTTGATTTAAATTTGATTGTGTTTCAGGATAATTTGTTACTTTTGTAATTCTCATGAATTTGTGATTTTCTCGTGTTCTTGATTCTCGTGGTTTTAAGATGATTTCTGGAAAAGGCTTGAAAAATATAAAACTTTATTCATAAATCGCTGTTCAAGAACGACACAAAGTTCTTCACAAAAACAAACAGACTTCAGAATACAGACAACATGCAATAGTATTAGTATTAGTATTTCTAAGTATTAGTATTGTTATTAAGTATTAATATTAGTAAAAACATTTAGAAAAAATGTATAAGTATAATTACTCAGTGTTAGTATCATTAGTGAGTATTAAAAGTATTAGTAATATTACTAAGTATCAGTAGTATCAATAGATTCACTAAGTATTAGTAGTATTAGTAGCATTAGTACCGTTATTATGTATTAGTAATATTAGTAGTATTTGTAGTACTATTAGCATTACTAAGTATTGGTATTATTAATTTAGTAGTATTAAAACATATTTGGAGTATTGTAGGATTAATAATTATTAATAATATTACTAGCATTATGTATCTTTAGTACAGGTAGTATTAATAAATATTAGTAATGTTATTAGTATTAGTAATCTTTAGTACTAGTATTAATACATATTACTAATATTAGTAGTATTAGGTAGCTGTTGTACTAGTAGTAGTATTAAGTATTAGTAATATTAGTAGTATTAGTTATCTGCAGTACTAGTAGTAAGTATTAGTAATATTAGTACTATTAGGTGTCTTTAGTACGAGTAGTATAAATAAATATTAGTAATGTTATTAGTATTAGTAATCTGTAGTACTAGTAGTATTATTAAATATTAGTAGTACTAGTAATCTTTAGTAAGAGTAGTATTAATCAGTCCCCCCCCCCCCCCACCTTTCTGTCAGCCCTGTCATGGGGGGGGGGGGCATTGCTGCAGACTCTTCTTCTCTCACAAAGCTCACCACTGTGCCGCCAACAACAAACACTCCTACGTCTCCCATGATGCATCAGTGCAGAGTGGAATGGTGTTGGAGTGAAACTCTGGTGTTTCGAAGGAGATTCACCGAAATAAGAGTTTATTTACTCTTTAATAACTCTAATATATATTCTGATGATGAACTTTAATATATACTCTAATAAACACACTAATAACACTTTAATAACATTTGAATCAACGTTTTAACAACAAAATAACAATTTCAAATACACTTTCAAATACTTACAACATTGCTATATTTTTACCATATACTTATATTATCTCTTTTAAACAAACCGTTATTTTACATTAAAATCCTGTTCTTTAGCTTTCAGTCGTGTGTCTGTTTGATTGACACCTACCTGCTCAGTCTAGGTGAACAGGTGAACAGGTATAACTGAACTGAGGTCTGTGAACCTGCTGCACTCACTCCGGTCTCGTTGGCCCCGCCCTCACAGAAACCCTTTGTTTGATTGGCCGAGCTCCTGCGGCAAGGTCACAGTGATGTGGAACAATCAATAAGGGACGGCTGGACATCTGTGTGTCCAGACTCGTCCCACAGCTCCAGGCCCCGCCCACCTCTGTTTGAAATCAATCAATTCAGAGTTCTTCTGGTTCTGCTGCTGCTCGTCATTATGAACGCTGTGTTTTCCCAGCGGTCGTTGAACGTCTCATGGCAGTAAACAGTACGAGGGTTCACAGGTTAGAGCCCGGTCACAGTAAAGAGTCGCTCCGGTGCTCCGGTTTCATTATTTATTATTGCATAAAAACAAGTAAAATGTGTCGTTGAAGAAGATAAAATGACTTAAACTAGCATCATTATTGCAAAATAAGGAAAAGGTTTTAAAGTTTTTATAAACGCACCTTTATTGTCCTAACTGGAAAGAATCACAAATACTGAGCCTTCTAAATATAATGATTATGAGTTTAAAATACATCAATAAAATTCCGATCCTTTATCTGCTGATCATTTGAATAGTGTTGTTTTATGCAGATAAACATTTAGAGCTGATGACGGAGACCTCTGACCTCTGACCTCAGACAGATAAAATAGTTTAGATTCTTGAATATCAGCTGCTAAAACAAAACAACACAAGAGGATGAGAAGATTTCTCTCTCCTGGGTTCAGTAGGACTCTCTGTCCTCTCAGTCAGACCTCCTCACATCACATCAGAGTGTCAGGACTCCACTTCCTGGTCACAGATCTACCAATTAGAGTAATGAGGATAAGGAGCGACCCTTCAGCCTCGGGGGAAGTCCTGCTGAACTGACCTCTGAGTTATGTGAGCTATCTGAGCTGACACTCCTGTCAAAGCAGCTCCACCAAGTCCAGTCTGAGGGACACTTCTGCACCTCGGAGGCCACGGTGAGACCGCAGACCCCCAGAGACCATACAGAGACTGTTCAGAGACCATCCAGAGACCATCCAGAGACCGTTCAGAGACCGTTCAGAGACCACCCAGAGACCATTCAGAGACCATCCAAAGACCATTCAGAGACCATGCAGAGACCGTTCAGAGATCACCCAGAGACCGTCCAGACACCGTTGAGAGACCATCCAGAGACCACCCAGAGACCATCCAGAGACCGTTCAGAGACCATCCAGAGACCATTTAGAGACCATTTAGAGCAGAGGTCCCCAACCTTTTTTGCACCACCGGTTTCATGTAAGACAGTATTTTCACAGACCGGCCTTCAAGGTGTGGCGGAAAAACACGACGAAATAAAATGATACGATCGGCATGAAAACAAATATAAAATGCATAAATAAATACAACTCACAATAAGGCTTAATCAGTGGAGCCCTGAGCTTGTTTCTCTGCAACGAGACGGTCCATCTGGGGTAATGGGAGACAATGACACCCGAAGTCTGTTCCTGATGTCCAGTCTACTCCGTTTAGTTGTGATTGCCGTCACTGCAGAACATCCCGCTTCACAGAGAGGATGTTGTTAATGGAAGCAGGGTTTCAGTGCTTTAGTGGAGATCTCAGGATATTCAGCCTTGATTTTAATCCAAAACTCCAGCAGAGTTGTTGTCTCGAACATACTTTTAAGGCCACCGTCATTTACAATCTCCAGCAGCTGATCTTCCTCTCGCCACATATTATGCAGAGCGGGCTTAGCGCCTCAGAATTACTCCTGATATTTAATCAGACTCCTGATATTGTCTGTTAAATGAAGCTTTCTTTTTCTTGGAAGTTGTAGCTCTTCTTCTGTCTCCTTAGTGGGCCTTTCCTCTTTGCAAAGAAGCTCTCCAAAAGTTATTTACTCATTTTCGCAAGTTTGCGGGCTTCACTTTTGAGGTAACGTATCACGTCACCGAGACGAGCGTCTTGACATGTCAAGAGCCACAGGCGGATGAAATTGCGAGAGAATCCGGTCATTTTTCAAAATAAAACTTCTTTCAGACTCTGATAATCAATAAAACGGAAATAGTATAGTATTTATTCTTTCTGTGCGGCCCGGTACCAAATGATCCACGGCCCGGTACCGGTCCACGGCCTGGTGGTTGGGGACCACTGGTTTAGAGACCATCCAGAGACCTTCTAAAAACCATTATCACCATATATACCAATTATTAAACCATGAAAAAATATAATAGAATCAAATTAAATGTGAAAAATAATTCAATTTCATTTTGAAAAAAAAGAAAAATCCAAAGACGCCTCGTCTGTCCCATTCTCAGGAACATGATTTATTATTATTTGGCACAAATGTTCACCTGAACTCAGTGATGTGGGTGTAGTTCTTTAGTGGACAAACTGGTTTATGTGTAGTTCTTCAGTCACACGATAGTGACAGCAAATAAAATGATGTAACTGGTAAACCCGGTTAGTTGCTCCAAACAATGTAGAGGATGTGAACTAAAATATATTCAAACCAACGGCATCACAACCAGAACGAGGAAAAAACTAACCGGAGCCCAAATTGTTATCCAAGCAGAACAGGATGAAACAATTAGAGAAGTCATTGCCATTATAACAAAAGTCTATTTCTCAAGCATGCTTTGCATAAACAAAAATCTATTTATACAACATGATTAAAGATCGTACAAAGAACATCCAATAGTAATGAAACAGATAGTATTATAATTAAGAGATGAGAAATATTACAGAAAATGGATGAACAACATTATAACATTGCTACATTTAGTTCACATCTTAGATCTTCTAGCAGCATCACAGCTTCTCTCAAACATTTTATGCTTCCTAACTTTACACCTTCATTGTTATGAAGAGTCATAACTTGGACACCAGTAAAATAAAGTCCAGTCCAGCAGCACCTATGATCCTTCAGACCTGCAGAGACCAATCCCATCATGCACTTTGGTTCTTCTTCTCCTGTCTCTGTTCCCACGGTGACAGACTTCATCTCTCGTCCACCTTTCAGCCGAGCAGCTGTGAGAAGTCTCGTGCGTCGCCTCTAAGCCGGCACAACCGTGTTTGCTGTGGGATTACCAGACTTTGGTTTGGGGGTCGGCGTTGTAAAGGTAGCCATGGGGAGGACCCCCTGTAGTCCAGGAATGCCGGTCAGGTCAGCGGAGGAGAGCGGGGGGGAGTCGGGGGACACTCTGGGATGGGGCAGGTGGCTTTGTGTGTCCTGTCAGCCATCAAAGAATCAGGCTGACTTAAAAAGGTTTGCAGAGAATAAACCAGCCTCAAACCGAAACCAGCACCCAACCACCAAAACCAGCCCCCAACCACCAAAACCACCCCCCAACCAAAACCAGCCCCCAGTTCCAAATATCCTCCCAGCCTTCAGAACGGTGGCTGAAGGATGCTTCCTTCTCCTTAACTCTTAGACGCTTCCTTCTCCTCTACTCGTAGATGCTTCCTTCTCCTTAACTCTTAAACGCTTCCTTCTCCTCTACTCGTAGATGCTTCCTTCTCCTTAACTCTTAGATGCTTCCTTCTCCTCTACTCGTAGATGCTTCCTTCTCCTTAACTCTTAGACGCTTCCTTCTCCTTCACTCTTAGAAGCTTCCTTCTCCTTAACTCTTAAACACTTCCTTCTCCTTCACTCGTAGACGCTTCATTCTCCATGACTCTTCGACACTTCCTTCTCCTTCACTCTTCAACGCTTCCTTCTCCTTAACTCTTAAACGCTTCCTTCTCCTTCACTCTTAGACGCTTCCTTCTTCACTCTTAGATGCTTCCTTCTCCTTCACTGTTAGATGCTTCCTTCTCCTTAACTCATAAACGCTTCATTCTCCTTCACCCTTAAACGCTTCCTTCTTCTTCATTCTTCTGTCTGTTTACATTCTGATGGAGGCGTCTTTGGGTTGTGATTGAGCTCTTATTTTGAAAGTGTGGTAAACTCTGTCCAGACCTGATCCCTGTGTTGATGGTGGTGATGGGGGGGGGGATTGCGTCATGCGACCCGAGGTGTCCCCCTTTTGTGCAGCCTGTCAAACGTGGTTAACATGCGGCCATTTATCTCCTGAAACCCCCCGAGGGCACAATGGTCTGGGTGAGCCGGGGGAGGGAGAGCGAAGCAGGGGCTTTAGTTGTTCCCCCTCTCTCTCTCTCTCTCTCTCTCTCTCTCTCTCTCTCTCTCTCTCTCTC